GGCCCTAAAATGTATACGGCGTTTGAAGTCTTCAGAGGTTTGGTTTCGTTTTATCATTATGTCTAATTTACATTATGTCTTTTATTTCAGGTGTCAAATGATGTAAATGAGAATTAGTTGACATCTGGTATGCTGTATAGATAACTACGTACGATGCCTGTAAATGAATTAAATCTGAAGGTCAATTTGACCTATGGTGATGAAAATATTCAGGATGATGGATCTAATGTCTTACAACTTATGTTTATATTTTGGGGAGTGATCATGCTAGTGATCGGTATAATTGGAATATTTGGAAATATTTTAACGGGGATTATTCTGTTCAGAAGGGAAATGAAATCGACCACAGTGTACTTCTTAAGAACGTTGGTGATCACAGACACGGGTATTATTGTCGGAGCAATCATGGGACTTTCAGTGCTTTCGATAACTCAGCGTAGTTCTAAACATTGGTTATTTAACGATGTCATATATCCACACATATATGCACCGACAAATTATCTCGTAATGGCCCTGCAGACACTAAATGTTTGGACTACAGTTGCCGTATCTGTTGAACGGTTCATCGCAATATGTTTCCCTTTTAAATCAATCAATATATGTAATAAACGCAATGCCTTCATAACCATTGGCATTACGTCAGTGTTTTCGGCAGCTTATAACATTCCACGGTGTTTTGAAACAGGAATTATGAAATGTGGCAATAATTGTTACACTGTTATAACAACGGAGTTCGGCAAAAGCAAATTTTATACTGTTGTTTATTCGCAGTGGCTTTATACAATTTTGATATATATTCTTCCGCTTTTATTGCTAGGAATTCTAAATACGTTATTAATCATGGAATTAATGCGTATGCGCCAGAGAAGAAGTTTAACAAATACTCATGAAAACACAGAATTTAACTTAAGTATAGTACTGGTTATAATTGTGGCAGTTTTTATAGTTTGCCAAACACCAGGACTGATTGCACAATTTCAATTTTTTGATCCCGAATTTTTGATGAAATGGACATGTGTCAGTAATACATTGTTTGTGTTGAATTCGTCAGTGAATTTTATCATTTATACAGCGGTTGGAAAGAAATTTAGAACGCTTCTGTTACGAATGACCTGGACACGATGTTTACGTAGAAAAGAAGTTCTCAGTCACTCCGGCAGCTTTTGGAATACCGAAAGAGAACTTACAACTTTAACCACTGTTAAAGACTCCGACACACCTGTAGATAATGGGGAGGAGTTACTTTCTCTAAAGGAGAATGGACGTTAGTTCTAAACATATATTTATATTCATGTTACTGGTATTCATGCGTCTTTAAATCTTTTCAAAATATTGATTGTTCACAATTTTTTTTTAATTTTGATCAATTGTTCGTCAATCAATTTCTTTGTTTATGTCTTTCATATTAATATCTTAAACATTAAATAAAACAGAAAATATATGAAACGCTTTTGCGTACTTGATTTACAATTGATTAATTTTGGAATTTAGCATTTTGTATGGACTTGTTTATGACTCTTAGCAACTTAATAAAAACAAATGTAAGTGGATATAGCTGGGCTAAGTCGTATTGCATTTATACTGCATAGATTGGCCTACTATTCACTAAAATGTTTTGCGTACTAAATAGTTACGCGCATATATGGAATATGTTTACGACAGTTAAAGCGGCCTTCAGTTTTTTTTTCTGTTGAAAAAAGCAATTCTGCACTTTTCCCAACTAAGTATTTCAGTAACTTAATCTTGAAATAAGCATCGTTTCACTGTAAGCCTTCAAAACAGAGTCCATCAAGAGGGTTATTTATAACGTGACAAATACGGTCGTTTCTAAAAAAAAAAAATAGAAGATCGGGAACTTTACTAATTTAGAGTGGACCGGTAGAGATATAAAGGTGTTTCCTTACGTTTATTACATGAAACGATTTATCTAACAATAACTTATTGCTGATGGCCGCTTTAACACAATGCTTAATAAATGTACAAATCAAGTCATGTATATGTTGACAATTTATAGATAATACGTACAATAGCCGCGGGTCTTTCTAAAGATGTTTTTAAATCCTAAATTAAAAACCATTTCCGTGTTTATATATTAAGTTTTGCTAAGCCCGATGACCGGCAATTTACATTTAAAACAGCATTTTATGTAAGTATCAATACAATCATTTATATAATATTGCCATGTAAAGCGACCTTTAAAATTTTGACAGTATTATCCCTGGTGTGGTATCGAACTATACATTAATGAATGGAGGAGATGATAGGTATGACCGTATCCTGTTTGCTGTCCTGCTGGACTCCTAGCCGGCGATACTATGTTTGGTGATGCGTTCAGTGAATGCTTGATGATCTTGTTTTTCAAATTTTACAACAGCTAATAGGATAAATTATAGTCACTTCATCAAACGTTGCAGGAGCAATAGGCGATAACGACAAACCAATTTTTTACAAGCTTCGCAACAGAGTTATCATGGTCATAACAGAAAAATCACGCTGTCCCGCCACTTTCACTCACGTTGAGTTACTTCTCTACGAGGTTTAATCTTTGATTAAAATTCTAAACTTCTCATTATATTTACAAATCTTAAGAGGGTCATCAAGAAAGATTGACTCCGAGTTATTAAACTACATTGTTGCATTACAGTTAACTAGTGAATACTGAAATTGCAACCACATCATGTTTTGTATAAAAGAACACTTTCAGCCATCCAACAGTATCGGTATTATAATTGAAGTTCTGTTTTGTATAACCTACATCTAGGTTATATACCCTTTTATATCTTTGAATATACATCAAACATTGAGGAAACACAATTGAGAAAAACAGCATCCTTACAGAACGCCCAAAACGACGAAATTGAAAATGTTGCAGGCTCGGTGTTTTTGAGTCTGTATATGGACGGTACTGTAAAGTGCAAGTTATCGTTCACACTCTCTAGTATCGACCAAGAGTGAGTTTAACCATAACCATCGTCTTGTTGTGTTAAACATAAAGAAGACATCTTTCATGGAAGTTGTCTGCGCACTATAAAACATCTGCTAAATGATCCGAGATCATAACTTTAAACAATTTTAATTTTGTACATTATTATGCATACATTGTGTTTTTATAATAGGCTGCTATAATAGCATAATAATCATTTCATTAATTCCAAACAAACCAGTGTGTGTCCCCCAATTTTTGTTTATTTTAAAGGCCTCTGCAGACATTTTCACACAAACATCTACGCAATTGTATCTTTAAGTTTTTTCACTTACGATTTAAACGTAAGTTTAAAAACTTTAAGTTTATTTTCACAAAGCAAATTCGTAAGTTTTTTAATTTTTATCTTAAGATAAAAAATTCCATAAAACGGATTTAAATTTTACGAACAAAATCATCCACAAACCCCAAAGTTTTTTATTTTTAAAGTGGATGTGCAAATGCTCTATAATGTGATTCCGGTTTTAAAAAATCAAGTAATATCAAAAGCTTTAATTAATAACTATTTGAACCAATCAAAAATTTCAATAAGAACAAAAAAAAAAAAAGATTTCAAACTGATATAATTGTATATCTTGTATTTGAAGATAAATTATATTATCTTAAAAAGATTCAGGAAAAAGGTTTCTTACCTATGTATAAAAATAAATAAAAAGGGGTACCACTAGTACATGCTGGCAATGAAATCCGAAACTCACCTAATTGGTATACAAATTATAAGTTTTTAATAATACTAGTCTACATTTCTAACCACGACCCGCATTTTTTTTCCCTAGAACATAGAAGAACCGGGAAAGTGTGTGTTATTATGCAATAGAGTCACTGTTTGCGTTCTATATTTAGGCATTTTGACGCGTAATCATTATACATGTTGACGTAACCACTATAAAATCCGACCGCTGGACAATAAACGTAGGAAATAATTTAGGCGCAAAATTTTCTTAAAAAGCAGGTACGGGGAGCATTTTTTTTGGGTTTTTGTTCGGGGAGGGAACAAAAAATACCCAAAAGGGGCTTTTTAACCCTGGGAAAATTCGCTGGTTTTTTGTTCGGGTCGAAAATAATTCCTCCTTCCTTAATTTTTAAAAATTTAGCCAAAAAAAAAAGGTCTTTTTAAATTTTATTTGGGGTTTTTTTTAAAAAAAGCCTTTTAATTTTTCGGGTATTAAAAACAGACCTGGAAAAATTAAAAAATTTTGTAAAAAATTTAATTTTCAATTTTAGAAAATTTCCCCCAATTTTGCCCCTTTTTTTTTTTCAAAAATAAAACTCCGGAATTCCCCTTTTCTCCAACCTTTAAAACAAATTTTCTACAAAAGTTTTAAACCGTTTCACTTAAACCCCAAAAAATATAAAAAAATTAAAATTGGGGTTTCTTTTTAATTTAAACCAATTTTTTTAGCCTTGTGGGTTTTCTTTTACGAGGAGACACATTTTGAGTGATTTCCCTACCGTAAAGTAGATGCTGGCCCATGTATTCGTGTATATAGCTTTGTCTCAACCTCCTCTTTGGACCAACACAAAAAATAACTTACAGAACTTACTTGAAAACCAAATAATCAAATTTTTATTATTGTGATCGAGCCATCGACAAGGTGCTGGCGCCATCGGCAATGTGAATGAGCCCTCGAAAATGTGATGGAGCCAACACTATCATTCATTTTGTGATAACATGACGGAGTTTAACCGTTACTTAACCTAACTGATTAACATATACAATTTCGCATGCATCGTATCATTGGGTTGACATATTGAATTAAAATACGCGATTTGATTATTCGAATTCATGAAAATTGAAGTAAAACCTCTTTGTATAAAATATTAACAGATTAGCACACAAAAATAGTTTTTTACTTTTAGTCAGTAAAATTTCAGTTTTTAATTTTGAAATTTATGTAAATTTCATCTAGAATTTCATCTAATAGCAAAAATCCAGCTAAAAATATTATTTTCAAACCAAGTTATACTGAAAAATTTGTTAACAAACCAAAGGAAATAAAACCATTAGGCCTTCGTTTAAAAGATGATTTAGATAAACTTGAAATTAATCAAGACAGTATCCTTCAAAATGACGATGAGGATGTTCCACCTTGGACTTATAATTCCCCGAAAATAAATATTAACCTTTCAAATATAAAAAAAAAAGTCATCAAATTCACCTGAATACTTCAAAGAGAAGTTTCTAGCAATTAAGGAAGAACATGAAGATTGTATACATATTTATACGGACGGTTCAAAAGAAGGTTGCAAAGTAGGTGCGGCTGTGTTTGAAAATAATTTTACATCTAGTATGAGGTTACCAGATAATGCATCAATTTTTACTGCTGAAGCAAAAGCTATCGATTTAGCATTGTCATACATAGCACAGCATACCCACGATAAATTTGTGATATTTTCTGACTCGCTTTCTGTTTTAATATCCATTAAAAATAAAAAATCTGACAATATCATGGTAAAGAAACTTCTTTTTCGATTTCATGATATACTTAAAACAAAATATGTTAAATTATATTGGATTCCAAGTCATGTAGGAATACGAGGAAATGAAAAAGTAGATGCTTTAGCTAAAACTCATTAAATTTTCAAAAAACTGACTTATTGTTACCTGCTTGTGATTTTAGACCGGCTATAAATAAACTCGTATCATCTGAATGGAAAGCAAATTGGGACAATGCCGTTTTTAATAAACTTCACGATATAAACCCATCTCTTGATGTGTCACCATCTCTATCTCTGTCAAACCGCCGTGATCAAACAGTTCTTCTTCGATGCCGAATTGGACACACTAAAATTACCCATTCTTATCTCCTTACAAATGACAATGCCCCTTTCTGTGTAGGTTGTAATGAAAATTTTACCTGCAAGCATTTTCTTCTTGAATGTCATGATTTTTCACAGGCCCGTAATAGATTTTATTCTGTAAATTCACTCTAAGAACTTTTTAATACAATTCCATCAAAAAACATAATTGATTATTTGAAAGAGATAAACTTGTATTCTAGGATCTAATTGGTTCATTTCTATTGTCAATTACAAAGTTTTACATAACATTTTAAGCCTATAATAGCATTCGGCACGATATGGCTAGTTATGTGTTGACGTGCCATAAAGATCCAAACAAACAAACAAAACAAACAAAAACACGTTCCCTGTTGTCACAATATGAAACCCCGGGAAAAAGTAACCAATGAACGAGCATCTGAATATGATATTTCTGTCGCTTTCCTTTTTTTCCGGCACAATAAGTAAACCCCAGCAAAAATGAGCCAATCAATGGGCATGCTCTTGAGTGCGGGTAACTTATACCTGCACTCCGGTTAACGCACTGTGCATGTATATGTATACAATTTTACTCTGACTCATTTTCAAAAGAAAGGTCCCCAAACTATGATACAAGGATTCTTTATTTCACTCTATTGATCTGACGTTACATAAATCAATTATATTTACCATTTGATATATTTCATAT